AGCATTTGCATTGTTAAACATTCTCTAACTTGGCCAGCTCTTTCTCACCAGTAAGCTTCTGTTCCCTTGGACTACCATACCCTACTGCCTGTCTATAAAAATACTCCACCTTCAAGGACCAGTCCCAATTCCATCTTCTGTATAAAGCTTCTCCCTTGACCATCACAATACTGGAGGATTCTTCCCCCCACCTTCTCCTCTCTCAGAGAAGATACTATCTTATATACATTTAAATCATATACTGTCTTTTAGAGTTATTATTTCATGTCATTATATATCATCTTCCTGATGAATGATTGGGATATGAAGCACGGGTATTGTTTCTTGCAGATTGTTTTGTTTTGCTTCTTTTAATCTCTAACACACAGGTTAGTATATGGAAGGAACTCAGTTGTGGGAGAGAAGAAGGACATTCTATGTCTACCAACACATAAAAGCACCATTTCTCAGGTAAGTATAGCATAGCTGAGCTCTTTCTGTGCTTACTGTCTCTTATACCTAACTTAAAAGGTGAAGCAAATTAAATGCAATGGTTGAAAAGGTATTTTCTGGTAACTGGACTTCCCTTCCAGTTCCTGCCAGGTTGCAGTTTACATAAATCTGAAGAACACGCAGTAACAGTAAGCATCAAGTAAAATCAATGGGATGGTTAATAGTAATAGACAGCCGAAAGCAACATGCACAAAGAATAAAAGCATATCTGAGAGCTGACTGCAATTTTTAATTAAAAAGTAATGGATTGGTGGTTAATAGAGTTGACTGTTGCTTTACTGAAAAACCTGAATGATTATAATAGCTAAGGTCTCAGGTTTTAATTCACAATTTCTCAGTTTCAAAGAGATATTTTTTAAAGTATACTGTTAACAATGTATGCACTGCCAAACTAAACATGTCAGAAATGCTTTTGCCTAAAGATAGCTATGAACCAGGAGGAGAGGAGCATGCTAATCAGATTAAATGAGATTACATGAAAGAGCTTAAAACAGTGCCTGGTACACAGGAAGTAGCAATAATTAAGATGAAACTGAAATAAACCCTTATATAGAAAGAGACTTAAAAATTTAGCATCATAAATTTTAGCATCAACTAACTGTAATTTCTGTGGTGGTATACTACTAAATAATTGTTTTCCAAAATTTACAGAATAAAGATCACTTATAATTTTAAAGATCCATTTATTTCGGTTTAAAAAAAAAAAAAACTTTTTTTCCTGACAAGCTGCTAGAAAATATCTAAATATACTATTTGGACATTTGAGGGCTCCGCGAACACCAGGTCAAATACTGTGCTGGAATTGCATATCTGTCTTCTTTGACAGGCCATGTATTCTGCACTGAACTGAATTCCACAATTCTGACCATTAAGATTATTCCTTTCCCCACTCCACCAATTCATTGCAGATGCCCTCATAAAAATAAATACAAAATCTCTGAATTCACTCTCTCAGGGTTTAGAATTATCCATTAAAATATTATGCTGTAATAACAATATAATATCATACCTTTTGGATTTCTTCAGGTAACGCATGCATGGGAATGTGACGATCCATAATTTCTCAAAATATACTGAGGGAGTGCTGAAGCAAAATGATCTAAAAATATTGATACAATAATCAGAATTAAAATAATGCAAAAAAAATTCAAATTGAAAGGTATAAACTCTTGGGAGTATTCATAGATAAATGGTTATAACTGTTTCAACAAATGTTTGTTTCATCAACTCAAGTGGGGTTTTCTGTTACTAGACCAACAGAACCGGAAAGGCCTATAGAGAGAGACTATTGACAGAAATGATACTCTCTTTCTTTAGAAATTAATAGTCTAATTCTAATTTCTGTGGTGGTTCACAACTAATTATTTGTTTTGCAAATACAGAATAAGGATCACTTAACATTTTAAACAGACCCATTTATTTCAGTTATTTTTTTTTTAAAGCAAGTTTTCTGAAAAGCTTCTAAATATCTAAATATGGTATTTTAGTTCAGCAGATAAGAAAAGCAATTATGACATGAATGCTGGTTTGAATAATGATGTACAGAAAAAATATTCAGTTATCAGATTAAATATGATATGCAGGCATTGAACAGAAGAATCATCACAGCATGAGAAGGCAGGTTCCAATTTTACCCATAAATGAACATTTATATAATTTTTATGAAGATATTTTAACAGATTTTCACTTTATAATAAAAGAATTCAATGTAAAACAATATCACTACTTTCATAAAACTACACAGGATGAATGGAGGAGTACTTTGGGTTCTTTTTTTTTTTTAAATCTTTCCCAAATATGGAGAAAGAACAGACAGTCCAGTTTCATGAGTGAGATGTTTATATATACCCTAGCAGTGAAGGGCAGAAGGGGGGCAGCAGAGTAAGATGATACAGGCACAATTCCACAGCAGGGAAGAAGGCCTGAGGCGGAAGAGCTATAGAGAAGAACAATCTAGGAGTTTAGGAAAGAAAAATGTCTTGGTATAGGGAATTAGTGAAGGATTTCTGAAGTTGTTTGCTTCTGATCAGGGCAGGATTTTGATAAAGAGAGACTGGAGAGACATAACACTCTCTCAGAGACAGCAACCTCAACCATGCCAAGGTAGCAGGGAAATTATAGTTGACAAAAATTCCTGTAGTGGCAGTATTTTCTTAAATTGTGTAACCATTGGTAGAAGAGAGGATTCCCTATTCCCTCTAAAACGAGCACAAAGCCCTTGTTTTAATAAGCTGCTGTTTAAAGCAAATAACCAATGAGCTATCTTCCTATATAAATGGGGTGTGTGTGTGTGTGTGTGTGTGTGTGTGTGCGCGCACACAAGTGTTTTTGGTAAAGTTAACTGGAGTTAACTCTGGGGGTAAAGTTAACTGACATAGTTAATATAGGTCCACATGGCCAAGTACATAAAAATTTGATGTTTGGCAGACCATCACCACAATGTGGAAAGAGCTCATTATTCACAGAAGGCTCATTATTCTAATCTCTACCATTTTACAATGGATTCACCATCAGTAAAGTAAGATGGCATTGGCTTAATTAAACTCTATTGGGAGCGGAATTTCTCCTAAATTATCAACTAAATTATCAACTAAATTTCCTTTTAAAATTCCACTCACAAAATTATTTGAGAGCCTGGATCTACTGACGATATAAACAAGGCACCAATGGAACAGTTTTCATTTAGTACCTTCATTGTCTGTAAATGTAGTCCAACTTTGTGGCCTTACTATACCAAGAGGGGAAGAATTGGCAGGTTCTGATTACTGAGGAAAAATTAAAAATAAAATATCCTGCCAACACAGAAAAATCTCTCTATAGTGCAGAAAGATAATTTATTATTGAATATGCATTTAACCAGACTGAAATGTAAATCACAGCCAATCTGTTAATGAGATTACAAAGACATAAAGAAACCCCACTCTTTTTATACAGCCAGGCAGATACAGTCCATTACATACATACCCATTCTCAAGATAAATGGTAACTGTCCTCAACATGGCTTGCTATAAACTCTTTCATACTTCGTTTTAAATTCATCTGGTAATTGAAGTAGCCATCTATACTAGCTAATTGCATTTGTTCTAAGGAATGGATATCGCTATAACAAAGCAGGTGGTTACTAGAAGTAAGGCACTTAGGCTAAACTCCCAAGGAAATATGGAAACAGGGAACTATATTCCTTGTTGTTTACATTGTAAAGAAATGGCTACCAGGTCAAGAAAAGTATTCTGGTTCTTAAAGATTTGCATACAAAATTTTTTTTAAAGATTTGCATATATATTAAAGGAATAGTGGAAGCATTCACAAATTAGAAGTTTATCAAGGAAGGGAGGGGGAAAACGTGCGCGTTTTATCAAATGAGGCCCTTTTATTCTTTCACATTACACACGTGTAGACCGGCAAAGGGTGCGGTGATAACTGGCAGCAGTTACCTAGGTATTTGTGTATCTGCTCTGTAACAGGATCACAAGGAAGATGTCAAAAACACAGATACGTCCTGATTGTTCACTTCCGATTCCCTTTCTCACATCAGTGTCACGTTAGGCCATTAACTCATGTTTAGTTTTCAAGCTCTTCCATAAAGTATTCCCCTGGCGTGAATCACCCACAAATGAGCAGGTCATGGTCAAGTGAAGCAGGAGTTCCTGTCCTAAGACTTTCCTGAAGCGGCGGAATTTTCCAAATTGAAACCAACTGCAAGGGCAGCCAAAACTGCCGGAAGGGTTTTGAACTCTGTCCCTTTCTAACCCCGTTCTCTCGGGACCTGCTGTGGCAGAAGAAGGAGTTGGGGGTAAGGCCGAGCCGCGCAATCCCGGGAAGAGGGGATGCTTGGGCCGGCAGGCTGGCGGGAACCAGGCAAGGTATGCAGAAGGGGGCGAAGGCGAGGTGCGGGGCCCCATCCCGCTGCCGCGGCGCCGCCGCTCAGCTTTCCGGCCCTCTGCCCGGATGCCAGCACGCCTCCGCTCCGAACTGCGTCCGGGGATACGGAGGCATCCAGGGACTCAAGGAAGCGGTTCGTTGTCTCTCACCTAGACCTCGACTCCACCCGGTGCGAAACGGCTTTCCCGGTCTCCCGGGAGACCGTGCTGCACGTCGGACTGACGTTAGGGCGCGGTGACGTCACAGCCTACGCCTCTCGCCAACGCGGAAGCGGTGCTCCCCTGCCCTGCCCCGGGCCCCAACTCCCAGCGGAAGCGGGAAAGCGCGTGGCGGGATCGCAGGAAGGGGCTCGTATTACGCGCGGAGTGCTGTGAGAGGCAGGAAAGGAGACGCCAAGAGTGAAGCGGGGGAGGGGGGCTGGAGTGGTGATAATAACAGATGGGACGGAGAGAGACGTCCCCAGCCCTTGCGGCTGGTTGGAGAGAGACCTTGGCTGGGGCGGAAGCCTAAGTCCGTCTACTTCTCACCGCTGGCCCTAGAGCCCGTGTGGAGGACACAGCAGTGGGCAGTTACTGCCCTTGAGCAGAAAGAGGAGAGATGCCTGTAAAGGTCCTGGGTGTAAAAGGAAGCTCGTCTCAGTGATTGCAAGCGAGGCCAAGTGAATTGGAAAGGCGTTGGTAAAATTTCCAACCTAGTCCAAGAGTAGTCAAGACGAAGTGCTTAGTTCAAAAATTATCTCGAGACCCCCCTAGAGCACAATTTATAAAAGGCTGTCCACCCTTACACGTGACTTTCTCTCATTCATAAAGCAAGTATTTGTTGGTGGCCTACCATGCGTCAAGCACTGCATACCAGATGGGGTGAGGCTCAGTGACTGACTAACCCAGCCAGGGGCAGCCATTGGCAGATTTGCAGGTGACTCATTCACAGTTCAGATATCTCCTTTTTGAGAATTTTATGAGGTCCAAAATGCAGCTCTTCCAAGAAACAAAGTAATCACTGCTCGCTTTCAGGGAAGGAGACTTGCTACTATTGAAAGAAGTAAAGTTGAGTAAATAGAAAATTTAGTAAAACCTGTAGATTTAGAGAAGTGATCAAATGATGCAGAGCATTGCTGGAACAGTAGTCAGACTGCTGATTGATAGGTATTTGTTAAATAAACAGTCATATGTGGCTCTCAATAAACATTATTGCTAATAATCATACTAGCCCAAATAATCATACTATATTTGTTAATAAAAGTGACAGCATGAAGTAATGAACACTTCTAAAAGTCTTGTTCCGCAAAGCACTGAAAGCTTTGGAAATATATATATCCTGTACACTTTAGACTGAGACTTTTGTCCCAAAGCCTACCATTGACTTTCTGTTTACACCCCCTCAAAGAGACTTTCTTCATCTGGCAAAGAAAAGCATAATTAGAGGATTGCAGAAAGGATTTAGGGGCACAGAGGACAGCCAACAAAGTGGTCAAGTACAGCATGCTTATGAGAAATGCAAAGAACATTATAAACTATTCATCTTCAGCATGCTTCTTTGAGGGACAATGAAGGTAGGACTGTTCTCATTTTGTAACAATGGGAGTTTATATATAGGGCGCACACACACGCGCGTGCACACGCACACACACACACACACACACACATGCACACAACAGTTCATCCAGATTCATTGAGTGTATATATCTGGAACAGGAATTGCACACCTAAAGCAGGATCACTCTGTTCTAAGGCCAGTTGGGCTAGTATGATTATTAGCAATAATGTCTATTGAGTACTTTGTGTATAGGATAAGGAAAGGAAACTTTAAGGATGGGAGAAGATCCAGCTGAAAGGCTGTAAGTCATTCTGTGGTTTAATTTCATCCGTGAATGTTCATCTCTACATTGGCCTTGAGACCAATTTTCCTTCCACTTAATGTCCCTTAGACCACATATGACCACAGAGAGCCACATATGACTGTTTATTTAAAATGAAATAAAAACTTACACTCCTTTTTTGCACTAGTCAGCTTTCAGGTGCTCAGCAATTACATGTTGCTACCACATAAGACAGCACATATATGTAGAACATGTTCATCATCAAAGAAAGTTCTGTTGAACAATTGTTAGCACTATAAGAATTTCAAGGAGTTGATAAATTGTGAAGAATAGCCTGTTAAAAAGTAGCAGTGAAAACCGTTATCCCTGAAGACCACGGCACATAGGAAGAATTGTGAAGTGTTACAAAATAGGTTTTTAAAAAGAGGGGTTGGAAATAATCCAATAAGCCTCTCCTCGATGTTGGTGTTTTTCTTGGCTCTTTTGGTCTCAGTCTCCCTCTGTCTCTGTCCAGGTTTCTTTCCTTGTCCTTTTCCGACTTCTTTTTCTCACCCCTTTATTGGCCATACTGACTGAAGCAGAAGTTAAAATATTCCCATTATTGGACATACTGAATAAAGTTTTGTGTTATCCTGTTTTTAAATTTTATATCAGCTAAGTTTTACTTTTTACTATGACCTTTAAAAATAATCCAGTGATAACCAAAGGTTAAGTTCCTTTTAACCTTTTCTGTGACCCTATGTGTCAATGACCCCTGAAAGAAAAAAAAAATGCTCCCTAGTTTTAGGAGTAGAGTCTCTGTAAAGTGACTGAACTAGGGCTTTCCATATGATCTGCAGACCTTTGTGTTTTATTAATGTTTAGGAGAATACAGTGTCTATACTTTTCTTTTATGAATTTACCTAAGATATTTATCCCACAGGGCATTTTTATTCAATCCATCCATTTTGGTTAGTAGTTTGTCCCCTCCCCTCTTCTTCCTCGTCCCTACTGAAAATCACGTGGGAGAATACATACTTTGTCTGCAAGTCTGATAAAAATTTTAGAAAGTCTACTCAAGATTGCTAATTTCAAAGCGAGCTCAAATTGAGCTCAGAACTATACAAAGGGAACATGGCAAAACTACAGTTAGCTCAACTTATTTTTATCCTGTGAACCAGAACACACAGTACCATGCTAGCCCCAAAAGTTTGAATAAAATGGTTGCAGACAGGCCTCCCAGGTTGGCAACCACAGCTTTCACTGCAATTTCTGGGTTCCATCTAATGCAAGTACACAACTTTTAAAAAGCTAACATTTATTGGGCTCTATTTGCCAGGTACTTCATACACAATGTCTTAGTTTATTGAGAACCATCCCAAACATAACTCAGTCAGATCCTACTTGTTTACTTTTTTCCAAAAAATAGAAGTGGCCAAGGGCATGGCCCAACCTGTGAGCACTGAAGTGTACTTGGACTGAATGCGAATGTAAGCAGAAGCACCTGGGTCTCATGTTTTATTTTAGTCGATGATGCCAGCCAATTAGTACCCACAGGGCATCAGCTTACTCTGGATTTGTAACATATGTAAATACCCCCCCCCCAAATTATTTAATTCTGGAAACTTAACTTTGTCATAGACTTACTTTCTTCATAACTTCCAAAACAGCTTCCAGTTTTCAAAAAAGAGGTCAGCTGTAAGTGACCACTTGCTTTGTTGTACTTGCCCCAACACAGTTTATTCCCACTGAGATGTGGATCAGAGTTTCTTTCTTAATTTTTTAAAATTGCTAATCAACATTTAAAGTTTTAGACTCCTCTTTAAAGCTACTTTGTATATTTTGAACCCCAAATAGCTCTAGCTGGGCTTGGGCCACAGTATATGTGGGTTAATGCTCTGTACATTTTTTAATCCATCATATGTGCAATGTAAACTTGAGTCTAATGAAATGAAAGTCACAATCTTTAAATAGCAGTTATCTCTAGGAGTTCAAGTGTTTTGCATTCTTTTTAGCCCTGAAAATATGATTATTGAATAAAATTTCCAGTGATACAAGTCAGGCTTTTAAGGGATAAACATCTCTCAAATATTAAAAATAAGTCAAGCACTACAGTGAAACCTTCTATGATTATAAATTATTCTCTTGTGGCTGGTTCACTACTGATAAGAACTTTACTTAAAAATGTACTATGTGCCAATAGTTTAATATTTGTTATAGGAATAATTTTTTATTGAAATATAATTTACATATAATATATTCCAGGTGTACAACATAATGACTCAATATTGTGAGTTAACCACAATAAATCTAGTTAACATCTATCATTACACAGTAAAAACTTCTTGTGACCAGAGCTTTTAAGATCTACTCTCAAAAAAATAAAAAGATCTGTCTACCGCCATGCTACCCTGAACAAGCCCAATCCCATCTGATCTCGGAAGCTAATCAGTGTTGGGCCCAGTTAGTACTTGGATGGGAGACCACCTAAGAAGACCAGGTGCTGTAGGAATAAAAAACTAAAAAACTACGGGATTGTAATCTGACAAGGTCCTTGCAATCTGAGGTCAACCAAGGGTTGCCTCACCTAAAAAAATAAATAAAAATAAAAAGATCTACTCCTAGCAACTTTCAAATATATAATACAGTATTATTAACTATAGTCACCATGCTATACTTTACATCTCCAGGACTTATTTTCATGAATATATTTAAAAACAATAAAACTCTAATGACACTGACTTAAAGCTCTTGTAATAAATTTGATGCTCAAAAATACGGCACTGATAGTTCTTTAAACTCTTAGCATCCAATATCTAACATTAATGAATTCAAAGACTGAAAATTGGTAACTTCCTTAGGCATTTAAAAAACTTTGTAGAATTTGCTAGTTTAATGAAATTATTGCTTATTTCTGAGATTTCTATAGGATTCTAATGAAGCATCCAAGAGTTTAACTCATATTTTTTGATAAGTGATTGGTACAAGTGATTTCATTCTGCCTTACAGAGATGAAGTTCATGTTTCTGTACCTATAATTATCAGTAGCTACAAAATTTATAGGAATCAAATTATAGCAATTTTCCTGTCATTTTGTTACATCTCTATTAATAAAAGTTTTAATGCCATTAAAGAGTTGTGAATCATCTTAAAAGATATCTTACAAACTATTGATAAAAAACATCTAACATTATTACCACTATTAAATAGATAAAAAAATTAAAATAATTATAGTAGCCCTGGTTTGCAAGAGTGTAGAGCAACTAGCACTCTTAAACATTGCTTTTACATTTACTTTTTTGCAACAGTCAGTTTTCAAGTGCTCATAATTACATGTCAAAATCTAAAACATTTATTATGTTCTAAACACCTTGAAATGTTCAAAACAACTGTAGTGGACACTTGATCCCCCTTCTTCCTTTTGTTCAGGAATCCAGACCTCTGCGCCATTCCCTTCTCTCTGCTCCCAAGCCCAACTCCAGTAACGAGTTCAGAATTGGTCGATTTTGCTAGCCCCTTCCCCTTTACCAGTAATTTAAATCACAAATGGGTTTCTGACCCTATTCTGATCAAACAGGCTCTACGAGAAGGCTACTGGAAGCGTCTAGAAAAGTTTTTGTTAGTACATATATTTAGTGTTTATCACAGTCTTGTTTATAATGTATAAATATTGGAAATACCAAAATGTAAAATAAATTGATTTATCAAACAACATGATTGTGTGGCTATTAGAAATGATAATGTAAGTTATTTGGTGATGAATATCCAAATGGATTGTTTGTGAAAACAGCAAGTTAAAAACAGAATTATAATTTTTTTAAATTACTCCAAGTAGCATTCTAAATATACATTTTGTTAATTATTCGTCAACATATTTTATTATGTTGGATACCTCACAGAATCAACAGAAGAGTTTAATAACTAAACTTCAATAAAGCAGGAAACAGGACTGCTTTGAGAACTTCAGATATGAATTCTGGAACTCTAAAAAGTCATAGAGTCTCAGCCATTTGAATCTACCACTTAATGAAAGTTAGTCCCATTCTCTTTTACAGTCTCTGCCAATGGCAGGGCAGTAGCGGCTGACAATCCAGTTTTGCCACAATGAGAAAGAGAGGAGGCTTCTGTTCCCAACCTCCAGTTATAAAATGCCAGGAAATTACTATTTGGCACACCTTGACCAAATCCCTGAAGCCAAGAGGAGTCAGATATATGCCTCCTGCCAATTG